AGGACCAATGCCGCGGGCGGCCACAGCTCTGCAGGAGCTGGAAGTCAGGCTGGCCTCCAGTCGGGGAGCCTAGGTGGGTGGGCCCACTGGGTGCTGGGGAGGAGACAAGGGATCAGTTCCAGTTTGGCTGAGACTCACGGAGAGGCTGGGCCCTGGACCGGGAATCACAGAGTTCGAGGGGCGCTGTGGCTGGCTCAGGGCTGAGGGCTGGTGTGAGCCTGGCAGGAGGGTCCCTGGCTGGGAAGGTCAGGCATTGGGGCAGGGGCTGCAGGGCCCAGCTGCAAAGGAGGCAGTGCGCTAGGACACCTGCGCTCCAGACCCCAGGGGCTTCTCCAGGTCTAGCCCGCACCACACTGGGCCTCACACTGCTGTTCTCCGACCGGGGCAAAGAGGGTTGGAGGAACACACCTTGGGACAGGCCCAGCTGTGGGGAGGGGCAGCAACACACAGGCAGGGCTGGGCCCCACGCAGGTCCCTCCTCCACAGGCCAGGCTGCCTCCCCAGCCCAGCAGGCAGCAGAGGCACCGCGGTCTTGCCAGACCCCTGGCAGTGTCCTCCCACGACCCCCAGAACTCCCCATTCCCTCCAGAGGTGCTCCCAACCCCTTGTTCCCAAAGGAGACCCCCCAGCCCCTCCTTCCCTCAGAAGCTCCCCCCCCCCCCTCCTTCCCACAGGAGCTCCCCCCACCCCCTCCTTCCCTCAGAAGCCCCCCCCACCCCCTCCTTCCCACAGGAGCTCCCCCCACCCCCTCCTTGCCACAGGAGCTCCCTTCACCCCCTTCTCTCAGGAGCTCTCCCTACTAATCCTTCCTTCCCACAGGAGATCCCCCCACTAACCCCTGCTTCTCTCAGGATTTCCCCCATCCCCTCCTTCCCATGAGAGCTCCCCCATTCCCTCTCCTACCCCCTCTTGGCCTCTGGTGCAGAGCAGACTGGAGCTCTGGCCTGAGAAAGGGCCAGATACAAATACAGATATCCCTGATGAACATAGATACAAAAGTCCTTAACAAATTTTTAGCAAACCAAACTCAACAGCACATTAAAAAGACCATTCACTATGATCAAGTAGAATTTATACCTGAAATGCAAGGATGGTTCAATATATGCCAATTAATAAATGTGATTCATCATATTAACAAATGAAGGATAAGACCATATGATTATTTCAACGGATGCAGAAAAGAAAAAGCATTTCACAAAATCCAATACATTTTTTTTTTTTCGAGATGGAGTCTTGCTCTGTTTCCCAGGCTGAAGTGCAGTGGTGCATTCTCAGCTCACTGTATCCTCCACCTCCCAAGCTGAAGCGATTCCCCTGCCTCAGCCTCCCAAGTAGCTGGGATTACAGGGATGTGCCACCACACCTGGCTAATTTTTGTAGTTTTAGTAGAAATGGGGTTTCACCATGTTGGTCAGGCTGGTCTTGAACTCCTGACCCCAGGTGATCCACCCACCTCAACCTCCCAAAGTGCTGGCTTACAGGTGTAAGCCATCACTCTCAGACTAAAATTTAATGCCTTTTATGATAAACGTTAACAGAATAGGTATACATGCAATATAACTGAACACAAAAAAGCCAGATATGACAAATGCATAGCTAACATTATATTCAGTAGTGAAAGTTGAAAGCTTTTCCTCTAAAATCAGGGACAAGACAAGGATGCCTACTCTCATTACTTTTTTCAACATAATTCTGGAATTCCTACCCAGATCAATTAGACAAGAGAAGAAAATAAGAGATATCCTAACTAGAAAGGGAAAAATGAAATTGTCTCTGTTGATGACATATTATATACAGAAAATCCTAATGACCCCACCAAAAAGTGGTTGGAACTGATAGATTCAGTAAAGTTGTAGGAAACAAAATAAATATATAAAAATTAGTGGCATCTTTATACACTAATAAGCTTTCTGAAAAAGAAGAAAACAATTTCATTTACAATAGCAACAACAACAAAACACTTATTTTATTATCTATATTCATATTTTATTATCAAATACTTCTTTATGAGACTTGTATACTAAAAACTATAAAACCCTTGTGAAAGAAATTGAAGAAAACACAAATCTAAAGATATCCCATGTTAATGGAGTAAAAGAATTAACATTGTTAAAATGTCCATATTACCCATAGCAATCTACAGATTCAGTGCAATTCATATCAACATTCCAATGTCATTTTTCATAGAAAATGTCATAGGAAAACAACCTTAAATTTATATGGAACCACAAAAGACCTTGAATTGTCAAAACAATCTTGAGCAAAAAGAACAAAGCTAGAGGCATTACACTACCTGACTTCAAAATATATTATAAAGCAAACAAAACAGATTGATATTGGCCTTTAAAAAAAAATAGACTAACTGACCAATGGAATCTGATAGAAAGCCAAGAAATAAACCTATGCATTTATAGTCAATTGATTTTTGACAAAGACACTTAAAACATACACTGGAGAAAGGACAGACTATTCAATAAATGATGTTGGGAAAACTGATTATCCTCATGCTGAAGAGTAACATTAGATCCTTATCTTACGCCTGGCACAAAACTCAACTCAAAATGGGTTAAATACTTTGACCCGAAACTGTAAAACTACCAGAAGAAAACATAGGGATAAACTTCACAACATTGGCTTAGGCAAGAAATCTTTGGATATGACCCCAAAGGCTCAGGCAACAACAACAACAACAAAAATAGACAAATGGAATTGCATTTATTAGTCTGTTTTTACGCTGCTCATAAAGACATACCTGAGACTGGTTTATTTATAAAGAAAAAGAGGTTTAATGAACTCATAGTTACACGTGGCTGGGGAGGCCTCACAATTATGGAGGAAGGCAAGGAAGAGTAAGTCATATCTTACATGGTGGCAGGGGAGAGAGAATGAGAACCAAGTGAAAGGAGTTTCCCCTTATAAAACCATCAGATCTCATGAGACTTATTCACTACCATAAGAACAGTATAGGGAAACTGCCTCCATGACTCAGTTATTTCCCACTGGGGTCCCTCCCACAACACGTGGGAATTATGGGAGCTATAATTCAAGATGAGATTTGGGTAGGGACACAGCCAAATCATATCATTCCTTCCCTGGCTCCTCTCAAATCTTACAGTCTCACATTTCAAAGCCAATCATGCCTTCCCAACAATCCCCCAAAGTCTCAACTCATTTCAGCATTAAGAAAAAAGTCCACAGTCCAAAATCTCATCTGAGACAAGGCAAGTCCCTTCTGCCTATCAGCCTGTAAAATCAAAAGCAAGTTGATTTTATATCCCATTTGGATAAATATGCCCATTCCAAATGGGAGAAATGGGCCAAAATGAAGGGGCTAAAGGCCCCATGCAAGTCAGAAATCCAGCAAAGCAGTCAAATCTTACAGCTTCAAAATAATCTCTTTTAATGTTATGTCTCATATTTAGGTCATGCTGATGCAGAAGGTGGGTTCCCATGGTCTTGTGCAGCTCTTCCCTGTGCTTTGCAGGGTACAGCCTCCCTCCTGGCTGCTTTCACAGGCTGGCATTGAGCATCTGTAGCTTTTCCAGGTAAATAGTTCAAGCTGTTGGTGGATCTACCATTCTGGGGTCTGGCGGACAGTGGCCCTCTTCTCAAAGCTCCACTAGGCAGTGGGGACTCTGTGTGGGGGCTTTAACCCCACATTTCCCTTCTGCACTGCCCTAGCAGAGGTTCTCAATGAGGATCTCACCCCTCCAGAAAACTTCTGCCTGAACATCCAGGCATTTCCATACGTCCTGTGAAATCTAGGCAGAAGTCCCCAAACCTCAGTTCTTGACTTGTGTGCACCCACAGGCTCAACACAGTGTGGAAGGTGCAAAGACTTGGGGCTTGCACCCTCTGAAGTCATGGCCTGAGCTGTACCTTGGTCCCTTTTAGCCATGGCTAGAGGAGCTGGAATGCAGGGCACCAAGTCCCTAGGCTGCCCTGGGCTTGGTCCACGAAACCATTTTTTCCTCCTAAGCCTCCAGGCCTGCGATGAGAGGGGCTGCCAGAAAGCTCTTTGACATGTCCTGGAGACATTTTCCCCATTAACATTTGGCTTCACGTTACTTATGCAACTTTCTGCAGCTGGCTTGAATTTCTCCTCAGAAAATGGGTTTTTCTTTTCTATCACATTGTCAGGCTACAAATTTTCTAAACTTTTATGCTCTGTTTCCCTTTTAAAACTGAATGCCTTTAGCAGCACCAAGTCACTTCTTGAATGCCTTGCCACTTAGAATTTTTTTCCACCAGATAACCTAAATCATCTCTGTCAAGTTCAAAGTTCCAGAAATCTCTAGGGCAGGGCAAAATGCTGCCGGTATCTCTGATAAAACATAGTAAGCATCACCTTTGTTCCCAACAAGTTCCTCATCTCCAGCTGAGACCACCTCAGCCTGGATTTCATTGTCCATATCATTATCAGCATTTTGGTCAAAGCCATTTGACAAGTCTCTAGGAATTTCCAAAGTTTCCCACATTTCCCTGTCTTCTTCTGAGCCCTCCAAACTCTTGCAACCTCTGCCTCTTACCCAGTTCCAAAGTCTCTTCCTGGCAGGGAAATGGTTTTGGTATGATTCAAGCACATTACATTTATTGTCCACTTTATTTCTATCATTATTACATTGTAATATATAATGAAATAATTATACAACTCACCATAATGTAGAATCAATGGGATAAATTTTACCAGGTATAAATGAGGGCTTAATGAATTTTTTGTTTGTTTGTTTTCTGAGATGGAGTCTTGCTCTGTTGCACAGGCTGGAGTGCAGTGGTGTGATCTCGGCTCACCGCAGCCTCCACCTCCCAGGTTCAAGCGATTCTGCTGTCTCAGCCTCTTGAGGAACTGAGATTTCAGTTGCATGCCACCATGCCTGGCCAATTTTTATATTTTTAGTAGAGATGGGGTTTTGCCATGTTGGCCAGGCTGGTCTCAAACTCCTGACCTCAACTGATCCACCTGCCTCACCCTCCCAAAGTGCTGGGATTACAGGCAAGAGGCACCATGCCTGACCTACTTTCTGTCTCTCTCTCTTTTTTTATAGCTGGGCAGCAGATGTTCAATTGTCATCGACCTAACAATTAAGTTGGCCATGAAGAAAGCTGAGAACATCAGGATTTAAAACACAGAATTCTCAAGTGGACCTGACTGTGGGATGGAATGCCAAACCTAGGCTGAGGTATGGTTGGGCAATGTCACGTGTCTTGCTTGGGAGCCATCATGTGCCCAGGTCGGGAGAGGTAAATCCCGAGACACAGACATGTGCTGGGGGTGCAGTCACATGTCCAGGTCAGGCGCCCTCACCTGCTGGGAGTGCCATCACCTGGTGGGGGCCAGTCACCTGGTGGGGGCGCAATCCCGTGCTGGAGACACGGTCACGTGTTGGGGCGCAGTCACCCGCTGGGGGCGCTGCCTCCGGCCTCATGTCTGCCCCTGCTTCCGGCATGGGTACACCCGGGCCCTCTGCCCTGGGCCTTTTGCTGCTGCTCCTGGTGGGGCCCCCAACCGGGGTCGCTGCCTCGGGCCACAGACACGCGGAGAGCCAGGGAATCTCCCTAAGTCGCAGCGTGGGTAGGCCCTGTCCCCGGGGCGGGCGGGCGGATGGAGACAGTGCCCTGGGGGCGCTCTCGGTGCCCGGCCTCCCCCCCTAGTGTCCCCGGCCCGTCCCTGCCACTCCCGTGCGTCCCCCGCTGCCCCTTCCTCCTGTCCCCGCCCCTCCCCCACGTCCCCTGCAGTCCCTTCCTCCTGTGTCCCCTCCACGGCCCCCTCAGCGCCTCCCTCTTGTGTCCCCGCCCCCCCACATCCCTTGCAGTCCCTCCCGAGTCCCCGCCCCTCCCCCACGTCCCCTGCAGTCTCTTCCTCCTGTGTCCCCCCACGTCCCCCTCAGCCCCTCCCTCGTGTCCCCGCCCCCCCCACGTCCCTTGCAGTCCCTCCCTTCTGAGTCCCCGCCCCTCCCCCACGTCCCCCACTGCCCCTCCCTCCTGAGTCCCTGCCCCTCCCCCACGTCCCCTGCAGCCCCTTCCTCCTGTGTCCCCCCCACGTCCCCCTCTGCCCCTCCCTCTTGTGTCCCCGCCCCTCCCCCACGTCCCTTGCGGCCCCTCCCTCCTGAGTCCCTCCCCTCCCCCACGTCCCCCACTGCCCCTTCCTCCTGCCCCTCCCCCTCCCCCACGTCCCCCGCTGCCCCTCCCCCCCTGAGTCCCCGCCCCTCCCCCACATCCCCCGCAGCCCCTCCCTCCTGTGTCCCTCCCCCCGTCCCCGCGTCCCCCTCCCCTCCCTACCCCTCCTGTGGCCCCAGCGTGGCTCCACCGTGAGCTCCGTCCTCCCTGCAGCCTGTGGCCGGCCCAGCATGATGGGGAAGATCCTGGGCGGCCGCCCCGCGCCGGAGAGGAGGTGGCCGTGGCAGGTCAGCGTGCACTACGCGGGCCTCCACGTCTGCGGCGGCTCCATCCTCAACGAGTACTGGGTGCTGTCGGCTGCGCACTGCTTCGGCCGGTGAGGGGGCGCGGGCCCGGGACGGTGTGGGGACCTGGGCCTGCAAGGCGTGCGCACAGCGGCTTGGATGGACCCCATGCAAGCCTCCCCCTTCACCACTGTCCGTCCCCACAGGGCCAGGTCCCCACCAGTCAGGCTGGGTCAAAGCACGCAACTGGGTCCCCACCCTTGAGGGTGGTCCCCCAAGTGCAGAGCCAGGTCCCCGTGAGCGAGTCTGGTCCC